GAAAGATATGGATAGAAATTTAATAAGTTGCAGCAAAGTAACAAAAGTGAATAAAATTGTATCGGAAAAAATTTCCAAAATTTTTGATCGAAATAAAAGTTCAATTGCATTGGCTATTAAAACTTATGATATTTATCTTACTAATAGTAAAATTATATACATTAAATTATATTCAATAACAAAGATCAAGTTGATAGATAAAAAAAATGACATAGGACCTCAGGCCACGTAAATTTTAAATATTCAAAAACAATGTGTGATAAATAAATGGTCGATGGTTTGTCCGAGGAATAAACAAATTTTATTCAAGTCTTGTGCAAAAGAATTCAAAATTTTTTTCAATACACTGTAAAATGGCTGTTAATAACGCATAATTTTTGTCGATTCTGTAATGCTGAAGTTCTTTCATTGAATCACTTGCAGCTTCCCGTCTCGGCTTCGCCCGAGACTTATTAAATGGGACACCATAGTGTGTTGACACGTAATGTAAAATGTTTCTAGTAAGAAATTTTACATCCATTCAAGACACTTCTCAGAACAAAAATCTTCTTATTAAAAACATATTTGTTTGGAATCCATACAGCTTATTTAGTCAAATATTAAGCTGTAAAAATTAAAAAAAAAAACATAATTATGCTTAAAAGCACCGCTCGTTCCTTATGCCATAAAATAATCGTTGGCCATAAGGGGCCGTTGATTTGCAGTTTCTCCCATACAATTTACAAAAAGGGCTATTTTTTAAAGTTGTTAAGATTGAAAGCTCCCAAAAAATGTATATTAAAAAAAAAAATTTCTTTCTCTTATCGCACAACTTTATTACTAGAGCAACAAAGTTCTGAAGCTTAATCTCTACATTTTTTTGTCGCCACAAAAACACAAATATATTTTCTACTTATTTAAAAATCTGAAAGATTTAGGAGATTACTGTAAGGGTACAATGAAATGCTGAACTCTCAAGTAAAGAATTGTACATTTGTTGATTTTGTCACTGCTGTTCTGATCACGATAAATTTTCTGCGTCAGTTTCTTGACCCTCTTTTGACATTTGGCATGGTTAAGACTTTTGTGACCCCTAAAGGCTGTTTTATGTCTACTTTGTTAAGTTCTAATATATTTGTTGGCAAGGTAGTTCAACGTCCGATGGCCCTAAAAAAGACTGGTGAGCTTCTTAAGTTAACTCTTTCTTGACTGAAGTTTACAATAATTGTAACTGCCTGGATACCTCAGGTGATCTTTTCTAGCCTGCTGTTGAAGCCCCAGACTGATCAAGAAAAAAATTACAAAGCCCGAAGCTTTGGAGCTAGTTGTAGAGATCTTTCCCAACGTCTCCTGGTGTAACGTCGAAAACGTTGGTGTCTAAAGCACCTTTTTTTTGCAGACTCAGTTGTTTTGGTGATCTTAGATAGGGAGATTGGTTCGTGATACTTGCCCGTTGGAGACTGTCCCGTTGGCTCAAGTTTTTTTTCCTTCATAAGTGTTATAGGTTCGCCCAGTGCAGACCTTGGAGAGGATCGGTGATTTCTGTTTGAATTCTTGGAGTCGAGAGGGTAATATAGGGTCGTCTGTCACCGTGGTTCCCAGCCTTGTGACGAACAACTCCGTTAAAAGCTCGTGACGAATGCCAGTGAATGACTGACTTGGTTTAATAGTGGCTGTCTTTAGTTAACACAGACTTTTAGTAAACGAATCGCTTCAGGATATGGTAGTAAAAATGTCTTTGTTGGCAAGGTAGTTTAAACTTAGGTGTCCCTTAAAATAACCGATGAGATTGATGGTTAAGTAGGAAACATCAATACTTATAATGGCCCTGAAAAGGGCCAGGGGTAAAAGGTCCAGCTATTACTCATTATTATTTTTGATATTGAAGAGCTGGCTGCGGGTAGCTTGACTCTTACCCTCGGAGCCTCTGTGTACGGAAACCGTACAGGAGGAAGGTACGCCGCTGACTAAAGCGTATCTCGTCTTCAGGTCGTTCTCTGGATAACCAACCGTTCAGGAAGTGGGCCTAGAAAATACCTTCTCTATAGGTATGACGTTGGGACGATCACTGAGAAAGAAGCCATTGTGGCTGCCCGTGCTCCTCAGGGCTGTCTCCCCTGGCTTTTAATTGCAGTCAAAAAGTTTCTGACGGCACCAGGCTAGATGGTGGAATAGCCACATTACTCTGAAGTGTTGGAGCAGGTTGTGCACTGGCTATCGACACGTTTCCTTGTATATTCTGCTGGGAACGTTATTGATTCTAATTATCTTTTAGTGGGGGCCTTTGTCGATCCTGGAGGATCAGGATGGACGGAGACCTAGGTCACTTGCCCATTGGAGGAGAGTGATGTTGGTATCCGGGATAGCCAGATGCTCAAATTTTATCTACATTCTCGATGCAGCTCGATGAACTGCAAGTAAACGAATGCCATAACTTTCGAGACGCTCCGGCGTATTATAACCACACTTATTTAATTCTGTTGCTGGTGGCTTCGATTTTATGTTGACCCCACCTATCGGATTCTACTGAACTAACGTGAAAAGCTGGCAAACTTTGAGCTTATTTATTGCTATTGTTATTAACTTTTTCAAGATAAAAACTTTATTAAATCCATCTAGGAAGTGTCAAGAATCGGTATGCAAAATTTCAGCAAAATCGGTTCAGTAGTTTTCGTGGTTAGCGATTACAATGGTTTTAGTGACTTCGCTTTATATATTAGTAAGATAGCATTGAGAATTAACAAGTTAACTGAGAAAAGGTGAAATGACTTTTGAGCTCAAATTGTTACTTACTGCCCAGCTAATCGTGTCTCCGTACTCGTCCAGAATTTTTACTGAAGAGTAGCAAGAGGGTAACTGTTAAAATCCTTGTATATAAACGTGATGATATTCTCGAGTAAAATTGTGGATGTAGTCGTTATACACATTATTTATAAACAATATCTTTTTGTTCTAAATTATTACGATATCGATAAACATTTTTATTGAAACGAAGGATGTCTTATGCACATCACGCATACCATGCTAAACTCCGTACTTTTTGGGTTTGGTATTATGAGGGTATATCGCATAAAGCTCGTTCGGCAGATAAAGCGACCGTTCTATAGAAAAAATGACGTCGTTAACTGTGTAATAGTGTACTTGTACATACAAGTTACCTATTTATAGAATATGTATAGGCACACTAGTTGGAGCTGTATACATAAGTATACTGTTATGCATGAACGACGCCATTTTCACTTAGTCATGGTCGAGGCATCTGCTTTTGCGATATACCCTCATTCAGAGCATTCACCGGCCATTCAAATTTTGATTTATTCGTATCAAATGCATTAGTGTTTTAATTATTAACAGATTTTTTGATGCTTCGATATTTTTGCGGTTGGCTCTTAGCCTTAAAACTCTTGTAATGTATTATAACTAAAAAGCTTCCTCCACCATACTAACGTTAAATGCTCTTCATTTCAGTGTTAACGCTACAAAGTTAAAACTAAACGAACTTTGTAGCGATGTAGCGTGAGCATGAAATAGAATTTTAAAAAACAGGCTGCGTAAAGCTTTGTCTCCTCTCATCTCACTTCTCACTTGCTCTTTCGATAAATCTGTCTTTCTTTCTCTTCTTTGGTCTAACTGAAAATTTTTCAACTGAATCCTGTCCTTTTCATTTGCAGATGCATTAAATATTATAGGAAACGTGATCTTTTTGATGAAATTTTTGTTTGGCATAACCTTTGAATTAAGACTATCCTTTAATTTTCAATTCAACTATGGATTCGCATAAATAAATACATGGCATTATTTTCAACGTTGGAGCATAAAAAATTGGCGTAATACAGCGTAACGTCAACACGTTCCCAGTGCTGCGTTCCCGTGCCTCTTGATACCTTAAACTTGAAATAAAAATTTTTATTTTGCGTTGCGTAAATGGCTTAGCTTTTTAAATATACTTCAAACCAAAAATCTGACTAATTGTAAACTGGTAAGATTGATTATTCAAACCCTAAAATTAATTTAGCTATTGTTTGAGTCTAAATATATTTAATTTTTACGCAATGTAGTAATCTCTGACAGAACTATTACAAAAAATCATTGCAATATTAACTCTTGTATCAGCGTATGCATTAACAAGGAATATTAAATATTAGTCAGTCTATTTCAGATAAAAAGAGGTTAAGAAGCAAATAAGAACTTTTGATAAGCCCAATCATTCTGCATGTGAGCCTCCACATTAGCGTTTTTGACCCTCATTAAAAGCAAAGCTATTATTTTTTAGACGGGATAAGACCAATGCTTCTGCCGTCAGGTAGCGGTAGTGTGCCCACGTTAGATTTTCAAAGAACCATATTTATATATTGAATCCATAGATAGTTCTGTGAAAATCTTACATAGGCACACTACCGCCATCTGATGGCAGAAACAAGCCCATAGACGAAAATAAATAAAAATCTACCACTTATAAAAAACAGATTTTCTATGATTGGTAAATGTATTTTGCTCAAGATTTTGAGCGATATGTGAAAAACAAACATTTAAAACAAATGTACAAGTTTTTTTAAAAGTGATGTATCGTAAATCGAAACTTTTGCAAATATCTTTGAATTTTCGAGAACTGATTGCAGCTGCTACATAAATTTTTGAAAGATGATTGCCTATTGAACAGTAAAAAATCTAACAAGAGTCTTCAATGCCAGCCTGATTTCATGATGTTCACAGTAGTTCTAATTTTAGTTATTGTTTTAATTTCAACATGAAAATTTTTTCCCGTAAAAAAGTCAGTGCAATATAAATAATTTTATAAAAACCATGAAAAAATAAGAAAAATTGTACCAAATCCTCTTTCTGCGTCATCTCTGACTGTATACAGGATCAAAATAGTGTAAGATATTTATAAAGCATAACAAGAAATACATTTCCAAGTTACTTCAACAAATATATTTACTTTACTTTAAATGTCATTCTTTAACTATAAGAATAAAATAAAAATAATAAAGACACTAAAATTATCCTTAACACATTCATAGGTATTTGCTTTTTTTGTTAACTTACTATTTCTTGGACATGCTTTTACTATTATGTTGGTGTACGTGTGGTCTAGAAGAAATCCTTTAATTAGAATGAATTTTTTTGGGCTTCTAAATTTTCAGGTAACTTAAATATTATTATGTTTTGATCTAATATAACAATGATTCAATTTTGTGTAGTAAAACTTTTCTTATTCTTAAAAAAAGGTTTACAAAAAAATTCTTTAGAAACATTTTAAAGATTTATTTTGAACATAAAAGAAGATGAAAATCTGGTGAGTAGTGTTAGCAGAACAGTGCAGCCACCTCATCAATCAAAAAGTTCTTGTGTACTTCTACTTGTTACGTACGATTTTTAGTGAGAGACTGTTACATGAGTGTAATTTTGTGTTATTCATAAATATTTATTTATTGTGGAAGTAGTATTAATTCATAGACATAAGTTTTTTTTTTCTAATCTCATCGGTCATAATGAATAGTTAATATTTTTATTTATGCAACTTGTGTAAAAACTATCTTACATAAATGTTTTTTTTTTGTTTCTACCTGTATGCTAATTTTCTACATACCAAGCATATTTGATCTTCTGTTAAAATCCATACTTAGTGCTTCTATTATAGAGTTGGACCAATCATACATAATCTATTTATTGGTAAATCTTACGAAGACTTAAGCTTTTTTTGTCACAATAATTTATCGTTGGAATTTTGGTTTATTGTAACTAGACATTATTACTTGCAAGCACGAACTCCTGAACTAAGTTTCTTATTTATTCATATAATTAAAACTTATCAAACTCTAACATTTCACTCAATGGTTAAAGCAGAATTGTTTATTTGCGTGTCAATATGTGCCATTGTCTTCATCCACACATTCATACGCATTCTCTCCATGCCAAAAAAATTTGACCTTCTGTTAAAATCTATACTTAGTGCTTCTATTTTAGAGCGTGAAGTGCATGAAAAGGAAAAATGAATCATAAACAAAAAACAGAGATTTTGTTAAATTCTCCATCGCTAGCTAGAATCCATCATTTGGCACGCTAGCCATCTAGCCACAAACACAACTAATGGTGTAAGAGTAAAATACCTGTTTAAGACCCCGTTTAAAAAACTCATAGATACTGCAGGAAAAAAGATACTTTCATATAGAATTAACCTAAACTTTTGAACATCCTTCTTCAAGAACGGCTAAATTTTTTTGAAACATCGTTAAAAAAATTCATAAAGTAAAAAAAATTATTTTTCCTAAAATAGCACAAAAAGTATAGATCGTACAAAAAACTGGTTTGCGTGTAACATGTAGCTCTTCAAAAGATCTACAAAAAAATAATTGATTGCCGTAGGTCATTTCGTTTGTCCGCAAAGTTAAAAAAACCACTAAAACTATTATATTTTTCGATTATTAAAAACAAATAACCTCTTTAACCAAATACTTTCAAACCAAATAATTTACACTATGTACTAATTTACAAAGACACATTAAGATAGTGAATAAATAAAAAAAATTTATGAATAAGACTTCAGAATACAAGTAACGTCAACATATAAATTTTTCAGCGTGGATGGGTTACGAAAAAAACCAGCTTATTATTTACTATAAGCTTGGTTTTATGCGCTGTGCGCGTCATAACCATCAACAAAGAATTATGTGTAGCAAATTAAAAATACTATATATCCTATATAAAAAGATTTTAACTTAACGTAATTACATATACCATTGACACTTTCCACCTCGTAAATTACTTTTGTATAAAAAATTTTTATTTATAATTAAATTTATTGATATTTAGACAGAAACTGATGAAACAGAAGGAGTCATTGTACAATGGAGGCAAGGTATTAAAAAATACAAAAATAACAGGTATCTAAGAAAAATTTCAACTTTTTGATAAAGAGGATGGGCGATAAGTCCCTCTTGTCCTTATCATAAAGTAGTCCCATAAAAATCATAAGTTAATTTAGGGGGTGTAGAGGGGCTGTAAGGGTTAGTATTTCATTATGACTCTATGATAAAGTATCTTTAAAATACATTCTAAGTATTTGCAGGGAGATGTAGGGGAGGGCTATGGGGTAATCAAATTACCCCATAAGTACCCTTCTTTGACATATTTTCATTATAACTGGATGATTATAACGTTTATTCAAAATATTTTAAGGGACCGCAGGGGGGGACTAAAATCTTGTGGGGGGCCATAGGCGTAGTGGGAGCGTTGGCGGTTCACACAAATTTCGTTAAGTTAAATAGGAGATTCGTAGATAGCCACACCAGAATAACTGCATATTATAGGAAGATAAATGTACCCACACGTGCGTGCGTGCGCGTGTGTATGTGTATGTTTATAAGTGACACGTGCGGACTTAACGTGCTTCTAAAATAGATATCAATAACATGGTAAATTGTTTAGAGGTTAATTAACCTATTTTAATTTAATTTAACTAAACTGGTAAAAAAAAGAAACTTACTTAGGGTGAGCTTAACAGATTTAAAATCATACGACTACATATTTTTCACCTTCCTGCGCGCTTTGTGCGCTGACTCTCCTTTACCAGATTATAGTGAAGTTCAAAAACATTGTATTTAATGCGATCACCTTTCATAAGCTAAAATTTCAGAGCCATACGCGAATGTTAAGATGTTAAGAGCTGAATATATTTACTTTTTTATTTAAATAATTAGTAAGGATTTAATATAATTTTTTTTTTTGGGAAAGTAAAAACCTATGTTCATACTATAGAATTTTAAAAACGTGGCTCACCACATGCACATCTTCTCGTAACACCAGAACCTAACAATAAAACAATTTTAACTGAACAAGTTAATGAAATTATTTTAGCTACAATATCTTCAAATAATAAGAAACTTACCAAATTGGTTATTAAACACATGTTTTACGGTCCTCACACTAAAAAAAGTTCATGTTTCAATACATCCAATAACAAATGTATCAAACATTTTCCTACACCATTTGCTGATATAACATCATTAAAAAAGGTCATCCCGAATATATCAATAAAAATAATTTTTTGGATAATTACGTACATAAGACTAAAATAAATAAACATAAAATCATAGTTGACAATGGTTGAACCGTATGATAAAATTTTATAAATGAAATATTATGCCACATAAACGTTTAATATTGTGCATCTATTCAAAGCATGAAATACATATACGACTACATTCATAAAAATGGTCATAGTGCTTTTATTGAAATTGAGGATTAAGTAATTCCGATGATAAAATTCTAAATGAAATAAAAAACTATGTTGATGGTAGATATTTTACTCATGGAAGCAGCATGGAAATTACAAGAATATCCAATTTGTGGTAGGAGTCACAAAGTTAAAAATCTTGTTGTGCACCTCGAGAATCGACAAAAATCAATTTTCGAAGAGAATGAAATTGGAAAGACAGTAAAGAAATGGTAAACGCATCTAACAGCTTGGTTTGAGTTGAATAAAATTGATAATCAAGCAAAATCTTTAAGGTATCTTTGTATCCCAGAAAACTATACTTTGAATAATTAACTGAAACTTTAGGTAAAAAGAAAAATGAAAAATACTGCAATAGGTAGATTAAATACACTTTTATCAAAAGGTTATAAAAAAATTTTTTTAAATTTATATTAAATAAAAAAATGGAGCAACTTTATATGAACATTCAAAAACATGTAAAGATTTATAATATAAATCATTTAAAAATACTGCAATTGCCATGAGTTTGATCGAGTATGATTAACAGATTAATGATATTTTCCAAGAAGCAAGTATTTGCATGCTTTCTCGTTATTAAGGAAAATTTTTTGCATGGTTTTTAATATCAGAAAATATACAAGGTGATAAAATTTGGAATAAGTATAAAAACTAATTTAGTGAAGATTTCATTCGTAATAAAGAAAATTATGCTCTTCCACACATCAGCATAATTTTTAAACTTGGAGATTTATTTACCTGCACCGTTTAAAATTGACCTACAAAACAATGATGACGCAGAGTAAGTTGCATTCTGTAAACATATGTTCGATTTAATGTATGCTTAGCTAAACAATGAACAAAATAATATTATTTGAATTGTATGTTAAAATGTTAAAAAGATTTATTTTATAGATGGTCCTGGAGAATTGGTAAAAACCTTTTTGTATAAAACATTAATTTATTACTTCGTATCACAAAAAAAAAAAAAAATTTTCAATGGCATCGACTGGCATTGTGTCAGTATAACTACCAAAAGTTATGACCAGTCGTAGAAGTTTTAGCTAACCTTTGGATTTGAATAATACTGAGCCTGCATTTTGTGAAATCAAATCTGAAAAAAAATAATTACGTGAAATAGGTTTGATAGTTTCGGATGAGGCTTTTATGATACCGAAAAAAGCTTTAGAGATAGTAGACAATACTTTGCAAGATATATGCAATACACACATACGTTTTGAAAATAAATTAGTAATTTTGAGAGGAGATTTTCGTTAAACACTTCCTGTTATAAAAATAGTAATAGAAGTATGTTTATACCAGAAACTTTTAAGTCATAATTTCTTTGAAGTTCTTTTTAAATGGTGGAGGGGTAGTGTGAGAAGCTCGGCTCTTACAACTACATTATATAGAAATATATATATATATACACACGAGTGTTTTAAACATACGGCATACATATCATACGTTGGCTGTATAAATACGGAAGCAGAACTTTTCCTTGAGACTGCATAGAACTAGATCGCTTTGTATATTTATATGTGAAACCATCTGCTATGTACAATTTAAAGAAAAAGTTATGTTTCCGGATGTATACAGCCAATGTATGATATGTATACCGTATGCTTAGAACGTTTGCGTGTGTATGTATATATATAAAGTACATACTCCAGATGGGGTTAGTACAATATAACATAAAAAAAACGTATATATATATACGTCGACACGTTGTCACTTTTGCGGACAACTATATTAATCCAGTGAATAAGCCAGAAAGAACTGTAAGAGGTAGAAAAATGGGAAACCACAACCGATTTGAATAAGACCTCTTGCATTGTATTCCCAGAACCTTCAAGAACATTTATCACCCTTAACCTATTTTAGCAAATGAAAATTTAAAAAAACTAGGGTAGTTTCAACCTCCTGTAGGCATTACAA